TATAGTCCGACGTTTTTTAATCCGACATGCTCAGTAGTCCGACGCACCTCCCGTCAAGGTACCCGTCCCCGTTACGTGTCTGCTTGCACAGAAGCATGTCGCGATGTGAATCTCCCCATCCAATTTTTACACGATGACACACATTTCGTGTGTTTTATGTGAGCAGTTCTGTTTGAACAGTTGGAGTAGAGAATATTGTAAGTTACTGCTAGCAAAACAATGCGAAATATGTAATTATTTTCGGTAATCCGGACACTTTTGGTCCCATACCTGTCGGATTATCGAGGGACAACTGTATTTAGTACTTCTGGCATGAACTTTTCACCTAATGTGTGGCAGCCTAAGGTAACCCAGCTATGCAGATCACCAATTCTATCTGTGCATGTACATTTATGTTTAAAGGGGACAGTCATATACAGGAGTGTATATATCTGTGTTCATGCCACTTGTCTCCTGTCTCATAGCACAGTATGAATGTCATCTGTGTTAAGTCCATGTACAAGTTCGTCTTCAATGTCCATATAACTTTATTGTACAGGGTCTTTATAATTAAAGTTCCATTTTGAAATGGGCATAAAAGAAAAACTACTGAACAAAATGTTATGAAACTTTGTAATAATTTACAGGAAGTCATGGGATTTATTTCCCCCAAAAAATAGTTCAAACACTCACCACTAGTGGGGAATGGCACTGTATGCAATATTGTTAAACTAAAAACAAGACATGAAGACATTGAATGAAAATAAACAATTTGGTGGAATTGAAAAATGCGATGTCCGTAACATTACTCCTGATATGCTAAGAGCTACTGTTGAGAACACAGTAATGCAATTTAACTTGCTTTCAGAAAATGGTGGACGCCACATTGAATATGCTTTGTAACATGTTTTACAAATGATTAAAAATATTTTCAACTGATGTCTTCATGTCTTATTTTGTTTAACAATATTGCATACAGCATCATTTGCTGCTGATGGTGAGTTTTTGAACTTTTTTTTTTTTTGTGAAAAATAAGTACCCCATGACTTTCTGTAAACTGTTACCAAGTTTCATAACATTTTGTCCAGTAGTTTTCCTTTTACAGCCATTTCAAAGTGGAACTTTAATTATAAAGACCCTGTACATAACTGTGTTGGACATCTGTTTATTTTATTTTACTGCCTACAGTTATAGATATGTCAGTTTTACTATGTACTACTGAATTCAAGGGTTGGATTTCACACCGATCTTTGGTTAAACAAGAGAAGAACAAATTATCACACAGGCATTAATTACATATAAATATAGCGATAATTTGTTCTTCTCTTGTTTATGTACTACTACATCGCGAAGACTTTGTAACACTGTTCATATTAACCTGTAACACAATCTCTTGTACCTTGTATCCTGATTGATTCAATAAATACAATGAAGCGCTCATAGACTCATCAAATATCCTATCTCACTTTATTCTTCCCCTTAAGCTTCTACTGCTAAATCTCTTTTACACTCACTCATGCTAGGAAATAGCTTTGAGTGGTCCTGACTTTTCTGCCCCATCCATGCTGCAAGTGTAGACAGTGAGTAAATCTAGGGAGGTGAAAAGAAGCAAGTGGACAGCAGGGGGTGATGGAGGCAGGGTACTGAATGGTAACCATACACCAGGGTTGGGGTCTCTGAGAACCTTTGTTAATTAAAGTGGGTAAGAAGAAACATTGTATTTAATAGTTTCCAGATGTAGAGAACAATGTACAGTGTGATGTTCATAGAAAAGTTTTTCTAAGAATATTCTCACACAAGGGAAAATGGATTAGGGGTGTTGGGTATAAATTTATGGAACCAAGGGCTTAGAAATGTTTGGGAATCACTTCTAAATTAATCAGTCTGGAAGTGAAGATTGGACAAAGGTCTGAATACCATAATTGAAATGTATCTACATTATAAGTAGAAGCTATGGGTTCAAGCCATATGTTGAATCAATTTCTTCCTCCAAAATATTTTAAATTAACTAATTTATTCCTAATTAGTAAATTTAATATGAGATGGCAAGTTAATCTGAGAGTATTCTCATGGTATTAAAAGATAAAAACACCAAGGAAAAAATAACAAATTATTTGTATATCCAATACAGCTACCTCATCTGCAAATTATAGTAATACATTTTATAATTAATCTACTAATTAAATGAAAGTAAAACTTTTTGTTGTTTAATTTGAATCAAAGACGAAAAACTTATAATTGACTATCAGCTTAAACTAAGAATGTTGTATAAAGATTATTTACTGTCTGTTCTAGTTGTATATTTAACTTACTTTATTGATCCTCATTTTCACAAAATTAGTTGCTCCAAAACACTTAATAATATTGCTTGTAATAAAATTATTACAAAAAATTGCTTTTAGCCCTTAAATTAAATAAAATATCTACAAATGTGTTGTCTGTACCACACCTCCTATGTAACCGCTCTGCACCTTGTTGTAATGCCACCTTCAACTCCGTCATCTTACTGTTTTGGTATGTATATATAATTTGTCTGTATAACAATGTTTCATAACTGTTAACCTATTATTGCGCTAACTTATAACTGTTTATATCAGTATTCTGTACATCTCACCATCTTGCAATATTATGAAGATTTTTTACACATGTCTCCTTTGATGATGTTTACTGCTCATACTGTTATAGCAGTGTGTTTATCTTTATCTTGTATAGTTTTAAGTATATTAACCCCTTTAAATTAATACCAACTGAAGATGGACTATTTCCAATAGTCCGAAATGCATTTTGGTTTTTTGTTTTCATACTTATGTAGTCAATTTTACTGTAAACCCCCTTTTTGTTTTTATTAAATGTTCTATTTTGATTCCTAAGTGTTTGTGCCTATTATCACCGGCGTGATAAGCCCTTACTATTATCTCCCTCACATTTTTAGATATTTTACTTTATTTAATATTGCTTGAATAGTTACAAGCAATATTAAATAAAATAACTGTAGACAACCATGTTATTAAGCAAAGTCATCCAGTTTATAAATGAAACTTATCACTAGGAAAATAAGCAAAATGCTTAGTAACTGGAAACACCCTTGGCTTCACCAGTTACATCATCAAATTTGTTTGAAATAAACTGCAAATTCTGTCACAAGTTTTTGAAAAAAAAAAATACACAGATTATACAAGTAAACACAGTAAATTTCATAAAGTCACTATTTATAACCTGAGTCTAAAAGAATTATTGCATCAGAAAATAAATGATTAAATTATCCAAAGATTATCCAAAGATATTAAATTTTATATCTCCGACTTAACAACCTTCTATTATAGTACAATAGAATCCATTATTTTGAAATAAAAAGTAAATAAAACAAAATGTAAATATCAAATTATGTAAACAAAAAGAGAAAATGTAAATATCAATTACACGAAAATAACAAGTTAATGAATATATTTCACAAAACTTACTTGTTATATGATGATCTCTTTAATTCCTGAACAACTTGTGAGAGTTGAGAATGAGTTCTTGAACTGTATATGATTTTGGGTAAAACTGACAAATTGAACAAATGAAATTATAGAATATATAAAAATTATTGTAAATTAAAACCAATTAAGGATCATACATGCAAAATTTGGCCCATTCCTTCCAACTGTAGCTGTGTTTTCTGTATTAAATAAATGTGATATATTCAGAATATCTCTGGCATCACTACTTGGCATAAATGCTGCTTGCTCCAAGGTAGCTTGTCTGTGCTTCAACCATGCTAAGCTAGAGCACAACAATGATAATGTTTTACCTGTACCAGTTGGGCTTTCCAATAAACCATTCACACCCTACATAAATATACAATAGTTAATATTTATATTTAAAAATTTAATCATCTTTTCATATAACTAATAATTTTTCATAAAACATAACATGGTTATCATAATAACTATCTGCTTCTTCTGGAATATTACGGTACAAAATTTTTATAATCTGTAACCTAAGCACTTTTGGATGCTTGTCATCTGTCCTCATAGTTAAAATGAAACTTTTGATGTTCCAAATTCCACCAAATGCCATTACTATTTCAATACCTTGATTAATTTTTTAAATTCAAATTGGAACCACTATGTTCTTCAATATAAAAATGAGGATGAGGTGTTTGAAGTAGAAGTGCATTCAAGAATTTTGGAACATTAAAAGTTTTGGTTTGTTTCTGAAGATGGACAAGAAGCATCTAAAAGCACTTAGGTTATTAGAAAATTTTGTAATACTGAAGAAGCAAACAGTTATTGTAAGTTTTGTAAAGCTATGATGCATAATAGTAGTGATGGAAAACATAGTTATCCACTACATAAATAACTAATATATAAATATTATTTCAATAAAACATATACAAATTAATTATAATTTTATTTCCATAACTTCCTGCAAATAACTCACAAACTCCATGTTTTAAAGTAAATTTAAAAGCAGGTGCAGCTCATCTGTCAATTCATTTTTAGTTGCCTCCCATTTTCTGCATGTCAATTTACATTTTAATTGATATTATTAAACACTCCTATTTAATTAAACTTGGGGTTGTCCATTAATTATATGTATAGTTTTTCAGTCACTTTTTAACTTTTCTCTCTCTCTCTCTCTCTCTCTGTTGTACACAATAATATACCAACTATAACATTACAGTCAGCAGAGACTTAATTAATCCTCACAAAGTATCTTAATTAATTATGTAAACTTCAAGATGTCCTATAGAATAGGTTGAAAATGTTAGTTTATTGAAATAAATAATCTCAGCATATCAAAATGCTTTGTGAGCAGGGCTGTGGAGTCGGAGTCGTGGAGTTTTGGCCAGAGTCAGAGTCGGAGTCGTGGAGTTTTGGCCAGAGTCAGAGTCGGAGTCGTGGAGTTTTGGCCAGAGTCAGAGTCGGAGTCATGGAGTTTTGGCCGGAGTCAGAGTCGTGGAGTTTTGGCCGGAGTCAGAGTCGGAGTCGTCAAAAAATCCGCCGACTCTGACTCCCTTTTTACTTACCAACTTGTTATGTATATGAAACGGAGTCGGAGTCGGAGTCGGAGTCGTCAAAAAATCCGCCGACTCCAACTCCCTTTTTACTTACCAACTTGTTATGTATATGAAACGGAGTCGGAGTCGGATGGTAAGGAAAAGTTGGAGTCGGAGTTGGAGTCGGTAGATTTTTACGCGACTCCACAGCCCTGTTTGTGAGGATTGTGTATTACAATAATATACCTTTGTCAAACCCTCTTCCTTTAATTACAATTACAATAGTTCATGGACGCCTCTCTGACATTTAAGAAATGACTTAAAAAAGTTCTGCAAACACTTTCTAATAGTTTAGTCACATGACTAGTAAGTAGACTTAGGGACAAATTCATATACCACTAAAAAATCCACATAGACAATGCCTCAACCCCTCCATCACTGTATACAATGATATACTTTATGTGACCTCCCCTTTAAACTGTTAACATAATTAATGGATGATGCCTTGTATCATGAAAGCTGGTAACTTTTCAGTAATTCACCTTTTCTGTACAATGACTCTCAAAGAACTACTTACAAGTCAAGTAAATTTTAATGCATGTTAATTCTCCACAGTTCATAAGAGTTAAGCAATTAACTCTCAAGCTCATGTTGTTGAATACTGTAGAGGTTATGTGCATCTTTCTTAGTAAAATCAACAATAATGATGTTAATGACAATTACTTTAATATATTGTTTATACACTCTACATCTGGTGTAACAATCATTCCCAATTTCTCATCTAGCTGAAACTTTGCATACACATGTATTCCTGATGACACACTTTTTTAGTTTGTAAACAATTTTAGCAATTAGCAAAAAATTAGTGAATAATTAAAATTTGTAAATAAAATTGGATAACAGATGGTACTACATGTTTTAAATGTTCCAGTTTACACATTCTAATACAGTTCACAGTACACAAATTCTTTATAACATAACAAAAATGTATTTGAAATTTATTTTCTCCACAAGTGTGCAACACTCTGGCACCTGATAATTAATTAATAAGCACAACACTGGTTCCTTACCAGTCACACACAGCTACATTCTGGTCAGCACTTACTCGACAGACCAAAGGGAAGTGCACAATTTCTCCCTCTCTAGGCGGGAAAATCTCACCCCACATTCTTAAACATATGATTACATAAACACACCTGACACATATGACAATTCTGTTTAGTTGTATATTGAACTTAACACTACACATAGCTATGCCACTTTTCAGTGTTGTCAGTCATGTCTACATGAAATCTTGTAACTCAATTTTCATTCACTTCTCAATTAAATATTAAACCAAGAAGAATTTCAATAATTCAGTGTTCCATATATAAAACTAAAAAAAAATAATAATAAAAATAAAAATTATTTTTAAAAAATGCTTTTTATTCACATAAATGCACTAAAAGGTCAGAAAATAAAATTTTTTCAGCTTCACAGTATTCTTGATATTATGCAACCGAAAATAAGTGTGGGGGTGGACATGGAAAGCCCATAAAAATTGTTAGACAGTGTAACTAAGAATATTTCTATACACGAGTCTCCATGCTTCTATTTTTGGTCACATAACACCAAGAATACTGTGAAAGCTGAGAAAAAAAAATTACTTTTTAACCTTTAGTGCATTTATGTAAATAAAAAGCATTCCTTTAAATTTTTTTAAATAAATTTTTTTATTGCATAAAGAGTAATAAAAAATTATGTTAAAAAAATCAAATAATAAGCATCTTGGCTCAATTGATATTACAGGATGCAGGACATCTTCAATGTTTTTCAAAGTTGATCAATATTTTGATTTTACTGTCATTATTGATGAAAATGAAAAAGGATATAACAAATACAGATACAGATACAGATACAGATATTTATTGATCAATATGCCATATGGCATATCCCGGTGCCACTAAGTATTACCGGGTATATACAGGAAATTACATAGTTTACACTGAAGATTTCGATAACTAATTATTAACGTAAATAAAATTAATTAACGCGTGTACAATTATATATATGAGGTTATACACGCGTGCAAAACATTAATAAGTATTAATAGATAAAAATAAATTTAAAACATAAAAGTTGCTGGAAATGTGACAGAGTCATAACATTATATAGTTACACGAGGAACATATGTTTTGTTATCTTACGCGGCAATTCTGTTTCAGCAGAGGTTTTCGCTTTTCCACTCCCTAATAAAGACGCAGTAGTAGAGTCAGTCTAGATAAAAGTTTTTTTTTTTTTTTTTTGCTGAAGTGAAACTCCTGCACAATCCAGACCAGGAGACTTATACAGATCTTATTAGAATATAGTCCTCTGTCAACGATTTTCCAGAATTAGTTGTCCAACGCCTTTGCTCTTCCTTATAAATCTTGCTGCTAGCATAGCTCCAGGTATATCTTGTGTGATTCTTATTGCCATGGTACAGCTCCAGGCACACCACTGTTATCCACAAAATTTGCCTCTTATGTATGCATGAGAAGCAAACGCCGATACAGAATCACAATGCCAGTAGATGCACTTAATTCACATATGTAGCAGACAAATTCTTCTCGAATATCACTGTTGCACAACGTTTGTGGAATTATACCAGAGTAGTAGTCCAGCCAGAACAGTAGACCAGCCGAAGGAAGACGCTAAATAAGGTTTCAACACAGTTGTACATCATCTATGACGTTCAATGTATGGATACTTTGATTATTTATTGAAGTCTCTTATCATTGATGAGACACATTTCTGAGCACAAATACATAACATCATATATTATTTAGGGAAGAACCAGTGCATTAGACCTATCGATGAAGGACACTGTATAGAGTTTCAACACAGTTGTACAGCATCTATGATGTCCTATGATCACATACGTTGGTTGTTTATTGAAGTCTTTCGTCAATGACGTGACATATTTTTGGGCATAGTAATACAAAGTCAAAACCAGATTCCTTAAGCAAATATTTCACAAGTACGGCCAATCAAGTATTATAAAAAGAGTAGGGCACATAAGTATAACTAGGGTAAGTGTGTTAACGAGAATACAACAAAACATGTAAAATATATAATAATAAAAGAAATAAAATAGACAAAACGCCGATAGAGAACCCATGGTATCAATGCTAAACCTTCCAAAAGAAAATGCAGACTACAAGTACAATCACGAAATAATTATATTAGGGTAATTTATATTTTTACTAACCAACAGTTGGCCATTAATGGCCAGAATAAGCTGGTACACTGGTCCTTACAAAATACATGTTAACGAGTTGTACAAAGGCATCGAAGGTATCTTTGTGATCAAAGAGACGTTCTAAGGTGGGAGGTGGCCAATGGAGATCATGAGACTCAAGTAACAGTTTTAAAATCAATCTTTCATTTTCTAGCATAGGGCATGTATAAATATAATGATCGCTGCTGTCGTTGCAATCACATATAAGACATCTTGAGTTTGATGTGCCCTTGAATCTTGAAAGGTATGAATAAAATCTCCCATGATTTGTTAATATTTGTGTGAGTTGGTGGGTAGGCTTGTACCATTTATTATAACAAATATAATAAAGAAGCATAATGAATAGATTGTATGATAATAGAATTTAAATAATACTGTTCTGCCCAGTGGCGTAGCGTGGTTGTCAGCCGCCCGGGGTGGAGGAAAATTTCGCCCCCCCTTATTTAGGTATTTCAATTTAAAAGACTAAAATTCAGTTTCGTCACTGAATAAGTAATGAAAAATTCCGTGCTAGTGTTGCCACTTTTTTAAGTTAAAATCGCTGACCCGGATGGCAGGTGAGGTTTGTTTGAACAGAAATTCCTGACGCATGCATATGTCATTTTGCAATGCGAAGAATAATTTGCAGTGCATGCTGGTTCTAAATCAGTTACAGTTAGCGACTAAGGAGACTTGGATAGGAATAACGCAAGTGATCTAGCTCTATTAGATATTGAAGGTGTATATATACAGTAGACCCCCCTATAACACTTGATAATTCCGTGTTATATGAATTTGATGTTGGACGAGTCACTTAGATTTTACAATTACGTATGCTGGGCTGTGAACGGCTCACGTATTTGTAAAATCTAAGTGACTCGTCCAACATCAAATTCATATAAAACGGAATTAACCCAGCTCTATTGGATATTGGAGGTGTATATGATATGATTGTGAATGAATCGTACAAAAAAAAAAAAAAAAAAGGTTGACAGGTTGCGCACAATATCCCCGGAGGCGAGTCGATTCCCGGACTGTACAAATGGTATTCCGTGCTCATTTCAATCGGCACGAAAATATGAAATAAAATGGTTCAAATTCTTACAAGATATTATTATTATTTATTGTGAAATTTTGCCGCGCCCTAAAAAGTGCCACCCCCACTACACTACGCTACTGGTTCTGCCTACTTCAACATACAATGATAACAGAAAAGATTTGAAATATGAATTTTGTATGAAATTGATAATAAATTTGGTTGCAATTTATAAGGTTTTTGAGTAGTATATCCTTGTTACAATATTCAGTCTACGAAGAGAAGAGAGATGATTTATGTCTCAGGAATTGGAAGAATCAATTCTACAAAGCTTGGTGCTAATCAAAACAACCAAAGAGTGGTTTGCTTTATCTCAGGAAATAAATATTTATGAAGCCTTCAGGTAAAAATGCTCAAAAATACTTTATTTTGCATAAAACCAGCACCAACACAAAATGAAAAAAACTCCATTTCTGGAATTCTTGTGCCATTTTATTTGGGTCAAATTCCATTTGCATTTCAAAGAGGAAATTTGTGTAATTTTTAATGGGTGATTTGGACACAATATATGAGATATACTCAAAATAAAACACATGACTCCCTCTATCTCCCCACTCCTCAACTTTCAACCATCAAAACTTAATAGCATTAGATCCCCCAATACACAAACCACCCTGAAAAATTTCAAAAGTAACAACACTTATTACAGTTCAAAGTGAGTAAATAAAACTGTGCACCCCCATACAAATATCTGTACATACATAAAAAACCACCAAATTTTTATTTTTCAACATTTCAAATTCTCAAGTCCAAAAATGTGAAAATCTCAACAGGTATTTTTTGACTGATCACCATATTTTCCCTTGTTATATAAGCCTATAACAGCCAAAAAATTAAAAAATTCACACTATTTTTAGAAACTTTTATAGTATCAAAAGCTTTTTTTAGGTTTTTATTTTTAATAATGGTTATCACAAGTTGTATATTGCTGACTTGCTACTATGGAAACAGAATGTTGCGTTGGGTGAGTGGCCTTACTAGACTTAACCAAGTACCCAACATTGACATCAGAGCCCGGTATGGCGTTGCTGAGATCAGTGAAAAAGCGTGTGAGTGGCACCTATGCCTCTATGGCCATGTGATCCATGCTCATGCCGACTCCATCATTCACATGGGCCTAAATTTGCTGGGTCCCACCCGAGGCAGCGTTGGCTGGACATGCCAACGCTGCCTCGGCCCATGACCATGAGCCGTGGTCTGGGTGTAGGCCCACGGCCCATGACCATGAGCCGTGGGCCTACACCCAGACCAGGACCATGGTCGGGCCAAATGGAGATTCAAAATAAAATCCAGGTGTGCCGACCCCGCCGTTAACCAGAACTAAGGCCAAAGAAGAAGTTACCACAGAGATGTCACTAAATAGGCCTAGTTACATTAGTACATTTACATTTAATTTACAATGACACAACACTGCAGTGCTCTTGCAAATTAGAACATGCTTCAAAAATGTGAAAATAAGTGATTTTCACATATAAGTGCACTCTTTCTTAGTTACATGAAAATATGGTAGATTTTAATGACATGTCTAAAATAAAATTTAAGCATCACTTAAATATGACAAGCATGCCTCAAACCAAAACAGATCATCAGACGTGTGGCATGGCAATCAATATGTCAATAAATAAAAATTATAACGCTATGATCTCAAACATGATTTTTATTTAATGCAGACTGATAATCATGTGCAAGGCATTAGTCATGAATACGAGAATCTGATATATAAATTCTTCAGTAAGAAAATAATACCAACAAAACAAAAGAAAATATAGGTTGAAGAAATAGAACCTTACATGATATTACAATTAGCAAGGCTTACTGGATATCATATAAGTGCATCAGTCATTGAAAACTCAAGCAAACTTCAAAAACTTGTTCAGTTTTGTCATTTTATAAATGTTCATTCAATAGATAACAACACTTGCCTAGATAATTTATAATGAGATTATTAATTAATAAAATACTAAAAAATTTCATTGAATGATTTATTTTTTACGTGGAGAAAAAAGGCATGCATTTACCAAAACTTATATATAATAAATACTGTACAAATAATCAAGATCCAGCAAGAAACATTATTGGTGATATTTGTTATTTGTGCAGTGTTTATTAACATATACCCAGTTCTGAGTAATTGAACTAATAGGCCTGTATGTTTTAATGTCTGCTTATTTCTTGCACAATAACACCATTCAGAAAAATGTCTGTATATTCAATAATAAGTAACTGCCAATTTCTATTTTTGGTACTATATTTTTGTAAAAAAACATACAGACACTGAGCATGACATCACTTCATCTACAGTTATGTCTGTTTGTTAAGTTATGGCAACGCAACACTCGGGTGATCCGCCGGGGGGATGCCTTCCAGAAGGTCTTTTTAAGGGTAACCGGCCCCTCTTTAGGCATTACAGATGTTGAGAAAACCCGGAAAACTCCACATGGCCAGCCCGTCCCGGCTAGGCGCAAACCCACGACCAAACTCCCAGTGTTCAGTGAACGGAACCACTTTGCCACTGGTGGGCCTCGTCTACAATTAACATGATCATAAAATTAGAGACGTTTCTCACAATTAGATTAGCATTATTATTTAGTCAAATATCTGTCTGATCAATTAATCATTCTATGACTTTACAATTAAACTGCTGGTTTTAGTGCTGGTTCAAAAGCTAACACTGTATATGTGATGAACAAACTTTTCAAGTCAAAACTATGGCCATGTCTGAACGTCACTCATTCTTTGTAATATTGTAATGTTATTGTTTTACCCGTAATATTAATTAAAAAGGGATTTTTGATTTTCGATTCCATCTTCATCTTTTCTATGAAAGTGGTGCTTACCTTTTGTAAACATTCTATCACTTTCGACATATAAATTTTTTGAACTTCATACGGGACATGAGGAAATTTAATGTCGATTCCATCTATTTCTAGATGATATTCTGACATTTTTAAATATGTAAACGACACTAAATTAATTTTACTTCTAATACAATGCACGAATTACCCGCGCCATATCGTAAACGTTCTACGGAAATATTGAATTTACTAAAGAAATTATCTACGAATACACCCAAATATAGCCAAAAACATTATTATGAATGGGGAATGTTTTTGTTTATTTTATTATAGTTTATATTTTCATTTTTTAATTAAACAGATATAAATAAGTAAACACTGTATTTTCCTATTAAGTATCAATACAATTATTCTTGACTATTCATAACTCTGTTCCTCTGAAACAGAGTTATGAATAGTCAAGAATAATTGTATTGTATTGTATTGTATTGTAAACTGTACTTGTATTGTATTTGTAAAATGCACTTGTATTGTAAACTGTAAATTGTATTGTAAATTGTAAACTGTCTTCATCCTATGGGCGCTAAGTAGGCTTTTTTTAAATCATACCCATTGTGGGCGGCTTGGTCCGATGTGTCTAGGACAAATCACCTCCCGAAAAATTTCTGGGGTTCCGATCCCAGATTCGATCACGGATCTCCCAGAGCGGTAGGCTGACGCCTTATCGCCTCGGTCATCATTTCATAACTCTCAAAATAATTATATCACAACTTATAATATATGCACTTTTGCTGATGAATATTAATATACAAGACCATAATTCTTAATTAAAGCAATTATACAAAATAGATGAAATGTAAGAAACGATGGTCCAATATTAACTACTGTATTTATGAAAAATTAAGAATTTCGAATCTCTCACGGTGGTAGGACAATAATATTATAGTGCGAACATCTAAGCTTAAATAGAACGATTTGTTAACATGAGGTATCAACACACGAAATTATCTACAATTCGAGTCAACTTAAAACATTCAACTCGAATTTTTAGTTTAATTACAGTGATTGAATTTTTAATTAGATTACTTCTATTCACTGTACATTCTGTCCATTGTTTGAACTTTACGGGTAAAAACATTATAGCATGTAAATCTTATAGCGTTTATTTATTTATTTATTTTTAACTGAGTGCACTACGAGAGTGATTTTTCCATGCCCAATACGGATGGGTTCGGCCAAGAGCTCACAACGAGAAAGGTTGAGGAACGGGCAGATCATTTTCAGAAGATAGTACCCATAAATAATCCATGAAGTTTTTGGGTTGGACATAAATCGAGCCTCTCCCAGTGGTAGTTACAACATTAGCCGGACTACCGTCAGTATTTTAGAACGTATGCAGTAAAATTGTAAAAGTTTGCACATGTGCATCTCATGATTATTCATCTCGTTGCGTTGTAAGCTTTCTAGAGGATGCCGTTTAGTCTACGGAACTGTCTTATTTTGTTATCCTTAATCTACGGTGNAAATAACGGAAGAACAGAGAAGGACTGCAAAATGAAAATAAATATGAAATTGAGTTGATAACATAATCGAACAAGTCGATTATGTTACTTGAGTAACATAAGATTATGGTACGATTATGTTATTGAGTTGATAACATAATCGAACAAGTCGATTATGTTATCAACTCAATAAACTGCCTAGAACAAGTCAAGGCAGCTTATTGGCACGAAATTCGCAGCTGTGAATGTCAAACAATTGTTGTCATAGACTTCGGAAAGCTAAATGCTTGTAATGAAAGTCACTTAGCATGCATGGGCGAAAGCCTGGGGTCGTTCGGGCTACCAAGCTGTTTCAAATCTGTGAAATCATAACTGTGACTTATATCGATGTCTTATCTGTCTCTTTTCTCTGTTATCACCAGGCACGTAATTGTAAAATGGAAAATCGACGACGGAAAAGTGGTGAATCGAAAGTATCGTGAGGGCGTATTATGGTGTATGCATAGGCATACATGGACTAGAGCGATAGAGGAAAGAGAAAGGGAAGAACAAAGACGAGCGCTTAAAAAGAAGGATAGGCAGGGTCAGACCCTCAGATGTGCGGCGATTCTTGAACGAATAGATGTGTATGTGTGCTGATCTTTGTAATTATAAATTGTGAATACATGTGACTAATATTATGTTCTTTTTTGTTTTGTGCATGTTATAAGTTATAAATAAATATAAACGAACAACACTAACCCGATAACATTAAATCTAAATACCAAAATGATTAATTTACTGTGTTTTTGTTATTTCTTACTCCTGTTTTTAGGTATTTGGTATTCGGCCGAATAGTGATTAAATATTCGGTATTTGGCCGAATAGTGAAAAATAGGCTGAATAGGCCGAATACCGAATAGTAACCGAATATTCGTTACATCACTATTGAAAATAGATCATCATCATGGTGGATAGTTAGAGGATTAATACTTTTACAGAATCGAGATTGATCGAGCTTATTCAGGCTCACGAATACATGTGGGATTTTAATTCTTCATTTTATCAAATATATTATCTTTTTGTGTATTCTCGCCAGCTCTATCAAAATAATCGCCCTTTATCTTTTATTCATTCCAGAAAAGGAACTACTTGCTATTTTAATAAGAAAAGTGGCTAAACTTCTGTAAATACTCTGAAGTAGAACGTAAAATGTCGGCAAACTCATGAAAGTAGTCAAGCTACTGTAATTTTATTGGTTTATTATAGGGTCACGTGTTTCCGAGTTGCAACGTCAATGAACAGTGTGTGACCACGAGAAGACGCACACAACTCGTGCTTGTTGCAGTTGCAGTCGCCTGCGCAGTTAGAAATCGCAAAGTGTGACCAGGGTTTTATAAGGTTCCCATTAGTGCCATCCAAAACACCATCCATCAGACGGCACTTCTACTATGGCAACAGGATTGGGAGAAGGACTAACTTTCCATTTTCTCCTGGACATTAGCCTCAGGCTCAAGATGGGGCATCTTCTGATTGACTTCTATACAATACAGCTTCTCAGCAGCCATGGTAACTTCAATCAGTACCTACATCAGTTCAGGCATAGGGAGGCCTCCATTCAAGACTCCCTTCACTTAATTTATCATTGTAGTCGCTTTAGCAACCTATGGGCAAGATTGACAAGGACCACCATTATGGGAAGGTACAACTGGCCCTGCTCATTGGACGTTCTTATTGGTGATCCTTATGTTTTCAAGGAACTAGTAAACTTCATACTCTCAACGAAAGCACTAGAACCCAACTTCAATACAGTTGTCCCTCGATAGTCCGATGTTTTTTAATCCGACATGCTCAGTAGTCCGACGCGCCTCCCGTCAAGGTACCCGTCCCCGTTACGTGTCTGCTTGCACAGAAGCATGTCGCGATGTGAATCTCCCCATCCAATTTTTACACGATGACACACATTTCGTGTGTTTTATGTGAGCAGTTCTGTTTGAACAGTTGGAGTAGAGAATATTGTAAGTTACTGCTAGCAAAACAATGCGAAATATGTAATTATTTTCGGTAATCCGGACACTTTTGGTAATCTGACACACCTTTGGTCCCATAC